GTGGCGGGCGGGGAGGGGGGGTAAAGCCAGTGGGGGGGGTCCGCACCCCAACACCCTGCTTGCGAAGCACCCCTCCGTCCCGCCCGCCGCCGTCCCCACACCCAGCCCCGACACCGCACACCCAGCCCCAGGGGGGCCCAAACTTCCCCCTTTCACCCCAAACGCTGCAGGAAGGGCCCGGGGGGGCCCCGGGAGCCCCCCGAGGGACTCTGTGGCCCCCAAACCCAGCGGGGCCTCTCCAGTAATCCGGGGGAATTAAGGAGGGGAGCGGGATCTGGTTATCATCATTTTTCGTTAATTACCCGTCCCTCGGGAGGGGTGAATTAAGTCTATTTGGTGACCTCACGCGGGCTGCCATGGCAACCGCTGGAAAATATTGCATTAGAGCCCATCACTATGCTGCCGCGATAAGGAGCCGGGAGGGCCGGGGGCGGCGCGAGCCCCCCAGCCCGGCCCCCGTATGGCCACCCCGGGTGATTCGGGGTTCAGCCCGTGGTGATGCTGAGGAGCCCCGAAAGAACCCGGCCTGGGTGGGACAACAAAGGGGGCCAATAAAAAACAGAGTGTTTTGCACCAAAAGGCGGGATGGGTGCACAAGCCGCCCCGCCGCACGCCCACCCTGGGTCTGGGGGGGCCGTTACACCCCTCGCTGAGCTCTGAGGCTGTTGCCTGGGTGGAGGGCTTGCTGCAGGGGGGCAGATTTGGGGGTGTCATGTCATTTTGGGGCTGGCGGGGTGAGCCGGGGCCTCGCAATGCCCCCTGTCCCCTCCGGCCTGGCCCGACAAGAGCCCCAGAAGGTGCCACCAGCCAGGGTGGCCGGGGGAGGCGTGGAGCAAGGGAAGGGATCCGGCTCTTTCCCCAGCACCGAACCCCCTCCGCCTCATCCTAAAACCTCCCCAAGGCGAGCGGGGCAGCTGCTCTGGGAGCACGCCAGCCCCACTCACTCCCCGCCTGCTTGCTCCCAGAAAATCCTCCCGCTCGCCACCACTGCGAGTGCGGTGGCTTCCCAAATCAGGGCTCAGCATCGAACCCCGTTACCCTCTGGCTGCGTGGCGGCGGTGCCGGGGCCCCGCTGCAAAGCCGGGCTGTGCCGGGAGCCACCGCGGCTCTGACCGACTTCTGTCCCTTCGAATCACCCAGCAAAGCTCCCAGCTCTTTTTTTTCCCCTTCCCTGCACATCCCTGGAGCATCCCGCCATCCTCCACTGCAGCTGCCCTGGCAACCGCCGCCCCGGCATCCCCTCCAGCGACCGCCCCCCCAGAATTTCCCCCCAAAAGCAAGCGCCAGAGGGGACTGGGGTGTCCCCAACACTGCAGCGGGGAGCTTGCACTTGGGCTCGTTTGCCCCCCGAGAAAGGGGGTGTCCCTGCGGTGGGTGCAGGGAGCCAGCGGTGCCGCGGCACCCGCCTCCGCTCCGGCTCTCTGCCGGTTTCTTGGAAATGGGTCATTCCTGGAGCTCGCCGGGAAAATAGGAAGAGGAGGGAAAGAAGCCAAGTGGGGTGATGTCCTGGTGGCGTCACTGGAGGGGACGGTCCCCCCGTGCCGGAGCCGCTGCAGGGGATGCCGACGTGGCTGCTGCGGCCGGGGGAGGCCACGCCGCTGGGTGTAGGTTTTTGGCCACGGGGGTCACCGGAGGCGGCAGGTGCAGCCGGGGCCGTCCCCCGGG